AACTCTAGCTTGTTGGATAGCGGATGAATAGGCCAACAAGCTGACAAAGTTTCAATGCTTCAGACTTGAAACTTTTGGAGTGAGCTCCAGACGTAGGCACATGATGCCCCCAGTTTTGTTTTTGTGCAGTAAGTCCATAGCAAGGGCTGTCAGCTCCAGCCGACATGGCTCTCGTGTGTCGAAGTCTAAAGGTACCTTAACATGGATGGATTTTGACAAACTCTAGCTTGTTGGATAGCGGATGAATAGGCCAACAAGCTGACAAAGTTTCAAGGCTTCAGACTTGAAACTTTTGGAGTGAGCCCCGGACGTAGGTACATGATGCCCCAAGTTTCGTTTTTGTGCAGTAAGTCCCATAGCAAGGGCTGTCAGCTCCAGCCGACATGGCTCTCATGTGTCGAAGTCTAAAGGTACCTTAACATGGATGGATTTTGACAAACTCTAGCTTGTTGGATAGCGGATGAATAGGCCAACAAGCTGACAAAGTTTCAAGGCTTCAGACTTGAAACTTTTGGAGTGAGACCCAGACGTAGGTACATGATGCCCCCTGTTTCGTTTTTGTGCAGTAAGTCCCATAGCAAGGGCTGTCAGCTCCAGCCGACATGGCTCTCATGTGTCGAAGTCTAAAGGTACTGTAACGAAATGTATTCGGCGCTCCATACTTTTTATATGTTTCGTTTGCCCGCCATAGCTTGTGCGCTATTTTTAGAATGGGGGTATAAAAGGCAGCGTTCGCGCGCATTCTGGCCAGACTGTTTTGGCGCGCCGTAGAGTGGCAGACTAAGAAAAGCATCGTGGAGACAGACAGATTTTTGTGTCGGGGAGTGACCGCAAATCTTACCGTGAGTGTTGAGCTGCTGTATTGTTAATGTTACACACTCCTTTTCTTTTATAAATAGTGGTGCAATTGTGGAATTGATCCTTGGGTTTACTTGATTAAGTGAAGCTTAATACTCGTTCGATTGAAGACAGCATATTTGGGTTTATTATTGTCACCTCTGTGCAGGAATTCTCCATTTGCTTTAGAAGACATACTTGACAGATCTTTGTGAAGCACTTTTATTGTTGACTATCGATAAGAAAGTCTCTTTCCCTTAAGGAAATCCGTTCCCTTAAGGAAACCAATTCCCTTTAAGAAACTCATTTTCCCTTACGGAAACCCTTTCCCTAAAGTAAATCCATTCCCTTAAGAAACCTCCTTTCCCTTACGGAAACCCCTTCCCTTAAGTAAACCCTTTCCCTTGGGAGCCCATTTCCTAACGTATCAGGATCGACAACTGCCTCGCGGGAGACGAAGGGTCGAGCTCATCAGGAGGATCGGCATCTGCCTTCGGGAGACCTCGGAGGGTCGTCTGGAGCCTAGGAAACCCCCTTCCTTGAGAAACTCCCTTTCCCTTAAGGAAATCCCTTCCCTTAAGAAGCCCCTTCCCTTAAAGAACTCCCTTTCCCTTAAGGAAACCCCCTTTCTTGAGGAACCCATTTCTAAGGTATCCGGAATGACAACTGCCTCGCGGGAGACGAAGGGTCGAGCTCATCAGGAGGATCGGCATCTGCCTTCGGGAGACCTCGGAGGGTCGTCTGGAGCCTAGGAAACCCCCCTTCCTTGAGAATATCCCTTTCCCTTTAGGAAATCCCTTCCCTTAAGGAAACCCCTTTCCTTAAGGAAACCCTTCCCCTTAAGGAAACCCCCATCTTTTTAAGTACTTGCCTGTTGTTGAGGCATTGTTAGTAAAGGAACTGCAGTTGTTGCATGGCTGAATAAAGAGACTTCTTGGAGCTTTAGCTTGTGTGTCTGGGTCCCACTTATTGTCTGGTTGGGTAGATTTATCGTTCGAACAATATAAGGGAAAATTAGTTACGTGCGGCGACAGACAGTCTCCAAACGGATTATCGCCCTAGGACCATCTGGACTGCCGCTCGTCTGGAGGGTTCTCGAGACCGTCACTTCTCGAGAAAATCGAGATCCGCCACATTGGTGTCAGAAGTGGGATAAGGCGTAACAAATTATTCTCATTGGTTTCCTTTAACCAACCCTACGATAGATTTACTTACCACATAAGGGAGACTGGACTTAACATATGGATGCTAAGGACGTTGGACTATTGGAGGAGGAAATAGCTGTTCTTCGGATCGAGGCAGGCAGAGGGGAGACCATGTTGAGGGACGCACTTGAGGACAAGAGGATTCTCGAAGAGGAGCTCATCAACATGCGATCTTTACTAGAGGAAAGAGGAAGAAAACAGAGTCCCGGAGGGATGACAGGGATGGACACCCCAGAGTTGTTTTTTGATACACCAGCCCTGCAGTCTCCAGCACTTTCAGGACAACTCCTAGGACGGGATTACGGACTCCTGCCAACACAGTTGTGTCGACAACAGGAAAGGAGAAAGAGGTTGCAGCCAAAACAGTTCAACCAGCAAAGGAGAAGGATGAGGGCAAGTCGCCACCCCTGGATAAGGAAACAGTAGCACCAAAGGAAAGCGTGCTTAAGAAACCCAACATCTGCCCTGACAGGTTTACTGGTAAAGTCCCATGGAAGGACTATAAGGAGCATTTCAAGGCCTGTCGTAAAGCCAATGGCTGGGACGACAAACGAGCAGCCGTATTCCTGGCAGCGAGTCTTCAGGGTCCTGCCCTGAAGGTACTCGGGTGCCAATCAGGAGGTAAGGAGCCCTCACTCAAGGAGCTCTTTAGTCGACTAGACCAGAGGTTTGGACCGGGCCAACAGGCTGATTTTCACCTAATGGAATTGCGCCATCGTAGGCAAGGGGAAAAAGAAAGTCTTCAGGAACTCGGGCAGAGCATAAGGGAATTGGCAGCACTGGCATACCCAGAATTTTCGGATGAAAGCAAGGAGCGCCTTGCCAAAGGACACTTTATGGACGCGATCACCGACCGAGCTATCAAAGAAGGGATATTCAGGTCGATGCCTGATAAGCTAGACAATTCGATCAAAGCCGCCTTGTCGACTGAGAGCTTCCTAAGGACAGAAGAAAGAAGGGCCGGAGACAAAGCAAGGAAGTACGCCAGAATGATAGAAACGGAAGGGAATTCGACAATGGAGAGCCTGAAGAGGGAGATTCGGGAGAATCGGGAGGAAATGAGCCAGGCTATTAGGAGTATCCACTCCGTTTTACAGGAAAGGGCCGTGACGAAGGAAATTCCATTCCAAAAGGACTTGGGCGCAAGGCAAGCCAAGGAAGCCAAATATAGCCGTCGCAAGGCAGGTGCAGAGGATGCGTGTTACAATTGTAAACGCAAGGGACATTTCGCCAGGGACTGTCCTGAGCCTAATGAGAGGAGAAAGTCACAGCAGGGAAACGGAGCTCAGCCATCCCAGTGGCCCATGGGGAGGCTGCCAGAGAGCCAGGGCCAAGCAACGAAGGAAGTGATGGTGGAGGACAAACAAAAGCCTTTGTAAGTGAGCAGCGAGAAACAAAGGGAGCAATTATTGGATCATTCAGACAAATGGGGGGTTTGTTCGTGTCTGCGGTTGTCAGGGGACTGCAGGCTCATCTTTTGATTGATACAGGGGCAACTGATACTGTCTTGTCGACAGCCTTGTATAACAGGATGGAACCCAGGCACGGCCGGTACTCACAACGGACGGAGGGAAACTATATAGCCTAGATGGAAGCCCCGTTAACGCTGTTGGGAGTGCCTGGCTTGACATTCGTGTGGGTAGGACAACCTGCCCTGTACATGCAATATTTGCTGACGTTGCTGTGGAAGGGATACTAGGAATTGATTTTCTTAGAACCACGAACGGGAAATTGGATTTTGGAAATTCCGTGCTGGACCTGAACGGGGAAAGGGTCCGCTGTATGGACAAAGAAGGAGCAAATCTGTGTGCTAGAGTCATCGTTCAGGAAACGACCACGGTTCCTGGAGGGCATAAAGCCCTAGTTACCGGCAGAGTGGTCGCAGGATTCTCTGGATTGGGTCTGATGGAACCAGCCGAAGGGAGTGAACTGGCAGCCAAGGGACTCATAGTAGCGAGACTTTTAGTGAAACCTCAGGAGGACGGGTTACCGATTCGGGTATTCAACCCGAGGAGGCGAGTGATGGAGCAGACCTAGACTATCCGATGGAAATGAGGCAGAGGATCTTAGCGTCAAATGACAGAGCTCGAGAACAGCTTGGAAAAAGCGCTAGAAGACAGAAACTGAATTACAACAGGAGGACGTGCAAGGAGGTGTACTTGCCAGGCCAGTTTGCCTGGAAGTATAACCCTGCAAAGAAGAAGGGAATCTCGCCCAAACTACAATGTCGGTGGGAAGGCCCATATCTGATTCAAGACAAACTTTCAGATGTAACGTTCTGGATTCAAAAGCGGCGTGGAGGAAAACTGAAGTCATCCACTGTGACAGACTGAAACCATACAAGGGGAAACCACTAGATCCCTGGAAACGTGCACGGCCTGGAAGGGCTGAGTCGCTGGACCATCCCGAGGGGGCTGAGTCGCTGGACCATCCCGAAGAGGCTGAGTCGCTGGACCATCCCGAAGGGGCTGAGTCGCAGGACCTTCCTAAAGGGTTTGAGTCGCAGGACCTGCCTAAAGGGGCTGAGTCGCTGGACCTTCCCGAAGAGGTTGAGTCGCTGGACCTGCCTGAAGGGGCTGAGTCGCAGGACCTGCCTATTGGGGCTGAGTCGCAGGACCTGCCTATTGGGGCTGAGTCGCAGGACCTACCTGGATGGGCTAAGACACAAGATCTACCTGAAGGGTCTACGTCTGGAAAGGCCAAGAAGGCCAATTCACAAAACCAGCAAAATAGGGAAGACATACAGCATTCTGAAAGGCTAGAAACACACGGGCAGTCGAAGGAGATAGGGTTTAATATTGCTCCCCAAGGAATGGGTTCGGTGGGAAGAAGGAATCCTAAGAGGGAACGTAAGCGCCCCAAACAATACCTGGAGTAAGGGTAGTAGTGGGAAAGATTTGCACTCACCATTTTGATAATAACAAATGCCATATTTTTGTTTTAATTTTGTCTTACTAGATGGACAAACGGGACGAGTTCGTCAGGCCAAAAGACTGGCACGAGGTGAAGATCCTTCGCTGCAACGTTTGTGGCGAATCATTTGTATACAAGAAGAGCTTGGAGAAGCATGCGCAGATGCATGAAACTAAGATAATGTTCTTCTGCAATCTTTGTGAACGTCATTACACTCGGAAGGACAACTTAAGAGCCCACTACCGTGAGCACCATCCGTCAGCCGTAGATGAGGTGGCGGACATTCCTGCAGAAACCACGGACGAAAGACACCACAGGATGAGTAAGGATAAACAGGATACAGCACTGAAGTCGAGAGAGGGTAGGAAGGGTACACACACGGAGACCAGACCACCTAGGGAAGTTTCAAAAACTCCAACTCAAGTACCCCAGGCCGGATCTAAGCGGAAGCAGTCAGAGCCGCGGGAGCAACCAGATCCGAAGAAACGCCAGAACACACCAAGGAGGAAGGACAAGACACCTCCAACGACTCCAAAAGATTCTCCAAGGAAAGCGGCAAGTGGCATCAACCAGAATCCAAGTACCCCGGAACACTTGATCTCTCTATCCCCTGCATCAAATTCCCTGATTCACCAATGCCAAAGCAACGAGGTTCCTGCTGTTCCTTGTGTTCCTGTCCGGGGGAAACCCAGAGGCATGCTACAACTGCTTGCGAACGACTTGGAGACGAGCAGCGACAGTGAGGACAGCCTCGACTTACAGATAAACAGTAAGTCCAAGAGCCAGGAGAGCGAAGGAAGCCTGTTACCTGAGCATGTGTCTACTCGAGTAGATGTAGGCCGAGTATTGAAGGCTGAAACTGCTGAGTAGTTCTGAGCAGTCAAGACGTCAACTGGAAGCCAAGCCAGCATCTGCAAGGATGTATAAAGTTGATGGTGACCCTGGTGCCACTGCAAAGCCAGCCTCTACGACCGACTTGGAGAGGATGATGGTGGGTAGGGTGCAGCGACTGCAAGAGGTTTCGACACGCAGCATCTTCCATGGTGGGGTCAAGATCTCAGAAGAAATAACAGAAAGGATCAATGACGGGACCTTCGAAGCCGGTTTTGTTTTTGATTAAAGATAGCTCGTTTGCCGAAACTTGATCACATTAAGGATATTGTTATAACTTGTAGTTTTTGTACTTTGAAGTTGAGTGTGTTTATTTTCTTTACCTTTTGTGTAATAACTTAAGCAACGATCAATGTGTGCGATATTACTGCAGTAGGTAACTGTGTAAAGAAGGAACCTTTTGTATTCAAGATTGTGCCTTATTATTGCCTTTTGTGATCTTTAAGGTGTTTATTAGAAAGAAGAGAAAAACAAAGTTGCACTGTTTAAATGTTATCTAGTTTATGTAAACATACTTGTTCATTTTTATGAAGTCTCAAGGAGAGAAGTTTTATCATCGTTTACGCTGAGGAAAGATTTGTCTTCAGGTCAGGAAGTTTATATTCCAGATTTACCTTTCGATTACCTTTAAGTAAACCCAGAAGAGCAGCCGGGTTTGTACTTTATTGTTTTTATATAAATCGTTTATTATCTAGTGCCTTAAGTGAGTGTCCTTAAGGAGACCTTAAGGATTGCCTTTGCAGTCAAGGCGCCTTATATTTGTATACAGTTTAAACATTTGTTTTATATTGTATAAGACGAGCGCCTTCTTCATTTCGTTTTGAAATTGTATTAGTTTTAAAGACCGGGACGGTCTGAACTTGAGAGGGGGGCTGTGTAACGAAATGTATTCGGCGCTCCATACTTTTTATATGTTTCGTTTGCCCGCCATAGCTTGTGCGCTATTTTTAGAATGGGGGTATAAAAGGCAGCGTTCGCGCGCATTCTGGCCAGACTGTTTTGGCGCGCCGTAGAGTGGCAGACTAAGAAAAGCATCGTGGAGACAGACAGATTTTTGTGTCGGGGAGTGACCGCAAATCTTACCGTGAGTGTTGAGCTGCTGTATTGTTAATGTTACACACTCCTTTTCTTTTATAAATAGTGGTGCAATTGTGGAATTGATCCTTGGGTTTACTTGATTAAGTGAAGCTTAATACTCGTTCGATTGAAGACAGCATATTTGGGTTTATTATTGTCACCTCTGTGCAGGAATTCTCCATTTGCTTTAGAAGACATACTTGACAGATCTTTGTGAAGCACTTTTATTGTTGACTATCGATAAGAAAGTCTCTTTCCCTTAAGGAAATCCGTTCCCTTAAGGAAACCAATTCCCTTTAAGAAACTCATTTTCCCTTACGGAAACCCTTTCCCTAAAGTAAATCCATTCCCTTAAGAAACCTCCTTTCCCTTACGGAAACCCCTTCCCTTAAGTAAACCCTTTCCCTTGGGAGCCCATTTCCTAACGTATCAGGATCGACAACTGCCTCGCGGGAGACGAAGGGTCGAGCTCATCAGGAGGATCGGCATCTGCCTTCGGGAGACCTCGGAGGGTCGTCTGGAGCCTAGGAAACCCCCTTCCTTGAGAAACTCCCTTTCCCTTAAGGAAATCCCTTCCCTTAAGAAGCCCCTTCCCTTAAAGAACTCCCTTTCCCTTAAGGAAACCCCCTTTCTTGAGGAACCCATTTCTAAGGTATCCGGAATGACAACTGCCTCGCGGGAGACGAAGGGTCGAGCTCATCAGGAGGATCGGCATCTGCCTTCGGGAGACCTCGGAGGGTCGTCTGGAGCCTAGGAAACCCCCCTTCCTTGAGAAACTCCCTTTCCCTTTAGGAAATCCCTTCCCTTAAGGAAACCCCTTTCCTTAAGGAAACCCTTCCCCTTAAGGAAACCCCCATCTTTTTAAGTACTTGCCTGTTGTTGAGGCATTGTTAGTAAAGGAACTGCAGTTGTTGCATGGCTGAATAAAGAGACTTCTTGGAGCTTTAGCTTGTGTGTCTGGGTCCCACTTATTGTCGGGTTGGGTAGATTTATCGTTCGAACAATATAAGGGAAAATTAGTTACGTGCGGCGACAGACAGTCTCCAAACGGATTATCGCCCTAGGACCATCTGGACTGCCGCTCGTCTGGAGGGTTCTCGAGACCGTCACTTCTCGAGAAAATCGAGATCCGCCACAGTACCTTAACATGGATGGATTTTGACAAACTCTGGCTTGTTGGATAGCGGAGGAATAGGCCAACAAGCTGACAAAGTTTCAAGGCTTCAGACTTGAAACTTTTGGAGTGAGCCCCGGACGTAGGTACATGATGCCCCAAGTTTCGTTTTGGTGCAGTAAGTCCCATAGCAAGGGCTGTCAGCTCCAGCTGACATGGCTCTCATGTGTCGAAGTCTAAAGGTACCTTAACATAGATGGATTTTGACAAACTCTAGCTTGTTGGATAGCGGATGAATAGGCCAACAAGCTGACAAAGTTTCAAGGCTTCAGACTTGAAACTTTTGGAGTGAGCCCCGGACGTAGGTACATGATGCCCCAAGTTTCGTTTTTGTGCAGTAAGTCCCATAGCAAGGGCTGTCAGCTCCAGCCGACATGGCTCTCATGTGTCGAAGTCTAAAGGTACCTTAACATGGATGGATTTTGACAAACTCTAGCTTGTTGGATAGCGGATGAATAGGCCAACAAGCTGACAAAGTTTCAAGGCTTCAGACTTGAAACTTTTGGAGTGAGACCCAGACGTAGGTACATGATGCCCCCTGTTTCGTTTTTGTGCAGTAAGTCCCATAGCAAGGGCTGTCAGCTCCAGCCGACATGGCTCTCATGTGTCGAAGTCTAAAGGTACCTTAACATGGATGGATTTTGACAAACTCTGGCTTGTTGGATAGCGGAGGAATAGGCCAACAAGCTGACAAAGTTTCAAGGCTTCAGACTTGAAACTTTTGGAGTGAGCCCCGGACGTAGGTACATGATGCCCCAAGTTTCGTTTTGGTGCAGTAAGTCCCATAGCAAGGGCTGTCAGCTCCAGCCGACATGGCTCTCATGTGTCGAAGTCTAAAGGTACCTTAACATGGATGGATTTTGAAAACTCTAGCTTGTTGGATAGCGAATGAATAGGCCAACAAGCTGACAAAGTTTCAAGGCTTCAGACCTGAAACTTTTGGAGTGAGCCCCAGACGTAGGTACATGATGCCCCCAGTTTCGTTTTTGTACAGTAAGTCCCATAGCAAGGGCTGTCAGCTCCAGCCGACATGGCTCTCATGTGTCGAAGTCTAAAGGTACCTTAACATGGATGGATTTTGACAAACTCTAGCTTGTTGGATAGCGGATGAATAGGCCAACAAGCTGACAAAGTTTCAAGGCTTCAGACTTGAAACTATTGGAGTGAGCTCCAGACGTAGGTACATGATGCCCCCAGTTTCGTTTTTGTGCAGTAAGTCCCATAGCAAGGGCTGTCAGCTCCAGCCGACATGGCTCTCATGTGTCGAAGTCTAAAGGTACCTTAACATGGATGGATTTTGACAAACTCTAGCTTGTTGGATAGCGGATGAATAGGCCAACAAGCTGACAAAGTTTCAAGGCTTCAGACTTGAAACTTTTGGAGTGAGCTCCAAACGTAGGTACATGATACCCCCAGTTTCGTTTTTGTGCAGTAAGTCCCATAGCAAGAGCTGTCAGCTCCAGCCGACATGGCTCTCATGTGTCGAAGTTTAAAGGTACCTTAACATGGATGGATTTTGACAAACTCTAGCTTGTTGGATAGCGGATGAATAGGCCAACAAGCTGACAAAGTTTCAAGGCTTCAGACCTGAAACTTTTGGAGTGAGCCCAAGACGTAGGTACATGATGCCCCCAGTTTCGTTTTTGTACAGTAAGTCCCATAGCAAGGGCTGTCAGCTCCAGCCGACATGGCTCTCATGTGTCGAAGTCTAAAGGTACCTTAACATGGATGGATTTTGACAAACTCGAGCTTGTTGGATAGCGGAAGAATAGGCCAACAAGCTGACAAAGTTTCAAGGCTTCAGACTTGAAACTATTGGAGTGAGCTCCAGACGTAGGTACATGATGCCACCAGTTTCGTTTTTGTGCAGTAAGTCCCATAGCAAGGGCTGTCAGCTCCAGCCGACATGGCTCTCATGTGTCGAAGTCTAAAGGTACCTTAACATGGATGGATTTTGACAAACTCTAGCTTGTTGGATAGCGGATGAATAGGCCAACAAGCTGACAAAGTTTCAAGGCTTCAGACTTGAAACTATTGGAGTGAGCTCCAGACGTAGGTACATGATGCCCCCAGTTTCGTTTTTGTGCAGTAAGTCCCATAGCAAGGGCTGTCAGCTCCAGCCGACATGGCTCTCATGTGTCGAAGTCTAAAGGTACCTTAACATGGATGGATTTTGACAAACTCTAGCTTGCTGGATAGCGGATGAATAGGCCAACAAGCTGACAAAGTTTCAAGGCTTCAGACTTGAATCTTTTGGAGTGAGCTCCAGACGTAGGTACATGATGCCCCCAGTTTCGTTTTTGTGCAGTAAGTCCCATAGCAAGGGCTGTCAGCTCCAGCCGACATGGCTCTCATGTGTCGAAGTCTAAAGGTACCTTAACATGGATGGATTTTGAAAACTCTAGCTTGTTGGATAGCGGATGAATAGGCCAACAAGCTGACAAAGTTTCAAGGCTTCAGACCTGAAACTTTTGGAGTGAGCCCCAGACGTAGGTACATGATGCCCCCAGTTTCGTTTTTGTACAGTAAGTCCCATAGCAAGGGCTGCTAGCTCCAGCCGACATGGCTCTCATGTGTCGAAGTCTAAAGGTACCTTAACATGGATGGATTTTGACAAACTCTAGCTTGTTGGATAGCGGATGAATAGGCCAACAAGCTGACAAAGTTTCAAGGCTTCAGACTTGAAACTATTGGAGTGAGCTCCAGACGTAGGTACATGATGCCCCCA